CTGAATCACTGCTTCTCTCCTCCTAACTAACCACACCAGGTTGTTGTTGGGGATTAAATGACACGGAGAACCACATATTCCGAGCAGAAAAGCTGGAATATTATTTATTTCATAATATTCATAATTTTAATTTTTCATTCTTCTGCTACACATGCTGTTTTAAATGTGCATTTTCGATTAGACTTCCTTTAGTAATGTTTTCTTTTGAAACATTTATAATTTTTTGTTAACACTGCTGCATTAAATGCACCTTCTGTACTTGACCTCCTTTGTAATGTTTTTTGTTAACTTTGCTGCATTAAATGTTTTATTTTGATGTGATGATTGTAATGTTTTATTTTGAAATCTTTCAAGATAATATTTCAGTTTTCTGCTAATTATGTTGCTTCGAACGCATACTTTATATTTGACTTTCTTCTGTGATGTTTCATTCTGGGTTGTTTTACATGGATTTTTTAATGTGGGCTTAGTGTTTTTATTTTGTATTTTTAATGCTCTGACCCACCCTGAGGCGGTATACAAATTTAATATATAAAAGGCTTGCAACCACTTTGAAATTCCCACACACACACATAAAAACAGAAAGTGGCGTCGAAAGGAAACAAATAATAATGATGTATCGATTGTAATGAAAGAAAACAAACCTCAAAGCCATTCACAAAAAGTGATAAAATCCGAGAAAGTGAAACGAACAAACCTCAAATTGCTTCACAAAAAGGAAGAGCAATAAAATTGTGGGAAGGAAAGATCACAGACATACGTTAAAACATACGAAAGTGGAAACATTAAAGCAGATCAAGATTCACACCAACTTTCCAAGCAGCCTTGTGTAAACAAGAATGTTTTGGGCTTTTTTAGAAAGAGAACAGCGAACTCTAGATGTCAACAGGCAGGGAGTTCCAAAGTGCAGGCGCAATAGAAGAGAAGAAGAAAATAATGAGGGACTTTGCGGAAGTGGCGAAGCTGACGGGGGAAAAAATCCGAAACCAGCACAATCAAGTATTCCAAAAATACTAAATTTATCCAATATTTGAAGGAACATTGTAAGCCATTGACATCACCAGTAGGGTTGCCTGAAGACTTGTAATGAGAAATCATCTTCCTTTTCACGTTTATTTAAATCTTGAGGTACCTTGTAACGAGTTTAATTAAAATTAATTAAGAGTTTAATTAAAACGTATTAAATGCTATGATAAAAAGGTCAATTCTGGAAGCCACGAGGCGGGAGGGAAGGAAGTCGATAGGCTCTAGAGAGCCAGAAAGTGGAGAATAATGATGTGATTATATATTATTAAATGGAAAATTAATAAAAATTATATATATTAAAAAAAAACACAAAGTGGAGGCGCAATAAATAAAAGTGAATAAATTACCTATTTTAAGGGGAGGGGCTGGAGGGTGGGAGGTGCAAGCACAGAAAAAGCCCCCCCCCAATCTCCCCCCGCCCAGAGAACAGGAGCGCCCCTTTACCTCCCAGCAGCTCCCCAACAGCAACTCATGGGCAGCCACTGGAGGCGGCCATGACACCCCGCCGGCTCCGCCCACTCGCGTCTCGCGAGAGCTGGAAGGCTCGGACTCCCTCTCGCGAGACTCTCCCCCCCCATCCTACCCATAGAGATACGAAAAAGCTGTTAGAGCGGCCCGCGGCGCCTCAGTGTTTGGAGGGGGAGGTTCCGGGTTTGCAACGGGGTGGGGGAATGGAACCCGCGAGTTTTGCCAGAGGCGTGTGAATGGGCAGTCGCGTGTCCGCTCTCCCCGTCCCGAACAAAAAAGGTGGCAGGAGGAGGAGGGTGCCGGGGTTGGCCAAGGGCAATGCAAAATGGAAAAAGAAAAAAGGAAGTCTGCGGCTAACAGGGTGGCTTACAACAACCTTGCAGTTGTGATAGGAATTTTGAGGTCTTAGATATATGGTAATGTTCATAATATATTATATATATATATATATATATATATATATATATATATATATATATATACACACATACATACATACATACATACACGCAGAATTTATCATGCGAAAAGCTGGGCTGGATGAATCCCAAGCCGGAATTAAGATTGCCGGAAGAAATATCAACAACCTCAGATATGCAGACGACACAACCTTGATGGCAGAAAGTGAGGAGGAATTAAAGAACCTTTTAATGAGGGTGAGAGAGGAGAGCGCAAAATATGGTCTGAAGCTCAACATCAAAAAAATGAAGATCATGGCCACTGGTCCCATCACCTCCTGGCAAATAGAAGGGGAAGAAATGGAGGCAATGAGAGATTTGACTTTCTTGGGCTCCATGATCACTGCAGATGGTGACAGCAGCCACGAAATTAAAAGATGCCTGCTTCTTGGGAGAAAAGCAATGACAAACCTAGACAGCATCTTAAAAAGCAGAGACATCACCTTGCCAACAAAGGTCCGCATAGTAAAACCTATGGTTTTCCCAGTAGTGATGTATGGAAGTGAGAGCTGGACCCTAAAGAAGGCTGGTGGCCGAAGAATGGATGCTTTTGAATTCTGGTGCTGGAGGAGACTCTGGAGAGTCCCATGGACTGCAAGAAGATCAAACCTCTCCATTCTGAAGGAAATCAGCCCTGAGTGCTCACTGGAAGGACAGATCCTGAAGCTGAGGCTCCAAGACTTTGGCCACCTCCTGAGAAGAGAAGACTCCCTGGAAAAGACCCTGATGTTGGGAAAGATGGAGGGCACAAGGAGAAGGGGACGACAGAGGACGAGATGGTGGGACAGTGTTCTCGAAGCTACCAGCATGAGTTTGACCAAACTGTGGGAGGCAGTGGAAGACAGGAGTGCCTGGTGTGCTTTGGTCCAGGGGGTCACAAAGAGTCGGACACGACTAAACGACTCAACAACAACAATGTTCATAAGTGTACCAACCAAGCACCTACATAGATCAGCACAGGAAGACCGACCTGGAACCATTTTTGATTCCCAAACTGACCAAATGTTTTTCCTGCAAGGAGGGAGGGGGTGAGGGAGCCTTCCCATTGTCTAAGGTATTGAATAATCAACATTTTAATGGGTGACAGACTATCAGGAAAGGCAATCAGATAACCTGGCGAACAGGAAAAACATTCAAATTTCTGTTTCAGACCGCCTTTTCTGTGATAGGTATGATGTATCTGGGGTGGTGGTTTTGAGCTACACCCCTTCTGTGATGTATGTATGATGTTTCTGGGGGTGGTCTTGATCTATAGGGTGGCAATTTCAAAAGTCTTTATAAGGCCTTGTGCACCATTGTTCTGGGTTCCTCCTCTCTCCTGCGGGTGAGGGGAGCACCCTGTTGCAACAGATCAATAAAGATCAGGCTTCCTAGCTGCTTTGCTTCTCAATATTCTCTGGTTGGCCTCTGTTATTTTCTCCTACCGATAGGGAACCCGCTTAAGGACTCTATATGGGCTCTTGGATACCCCATAAGGGGGAAAAGGGCAATTTTTGTTTACAACACAGTAGTATGCTGGTCCTACTTCGGATTAGGAGATGGGACCGAGCCATTTAGGGAATTTTTAAATATTTGATGTTTTATCCCTTCCAACTCTAAAACTCGATGATTTTATGATGCCCCATTTTGCCGCTTGCCAAAGGGGTTTCCTGGCAGAAATGCCATTTCCACCCGTAGAGCAACACAACTTGCTCTTTTCGAACGCTGAGAAAACGCCACTTGCTTGCATGGCAGGAGAGGGTTGTGGGATTCTGACAGGAATTTTATGGTCTTAGATATATGGCAATGTTCATAACTGCACATACATAGATCAGCACAGGAAGGCCAACCTGGAACCATTTTCATTCCTAAACTGAGCAAATGTTTTCTCTGCAAGGTCAAACTGGAAAAGCCTCCCCATTGTCTTTTCCTTCACACATCCTGTCTTAAGGGTATGTCTGTGTTTGCATAGGGTGACCTGGCCCAGGAACTAAGTATTTATCATTACAAAAGACTGGCCAGGCTACCCAGGAAATCCAATCAAGTAACCTGCCAGATAGGAGATAAACAACAACAGGAGAAAAATATTAAAATTTCTGTTTTAGACCGCCTTTTCTGTGATGTGGGTATGATGTATCTGAGGGGTGGTCTTAGGTTACACCCCTTCTGTGATGTATGTATGATGTTTCTGGGGGTGGTCTTGATCTAAAGGTAAAGGTACCCCTGCCCGTACGGGCCAGTCTTGACAGACTCTAGGGTTGTGCGCTCATCTCACTCTATAGGCCGGGAGCCAGCGCTGTCCGGAGACACTTCCGGGTCACGTGGCCAGCGTGACAAGCTGCATCTGGCAAGCCAGCGCAGCACACGGAAACGCCGTTTACCTTCCCGCCAGTAAGCGGTCCCTATTTATCTACTTGCACCCGGGGGTCCTTTCGAACTGCTAGGTTGGCAGGCGCTGGGACCGAACAACGGGAGCGCACCCCGCCGTGGGGATTCGAACCGCCGACCTTTCGATCGGCAAGCCCTAGGCGCTGAGGCTTTTACCCACAGCGCCACCCACGTCCCGGTCTTGATCTACAGGGTGGCAATTTCAAAAGTCTTTATAAGGCCTCGCACACCATTTTTCTGGGTCCCTCCTCTCCTTCAGGTGAGGGGAGCACCCTGTTGCAACAGATCAATAAAGGCCAAGCCTACAGGCTGCTGTTTTGCTCCAAGTAATCCTGGTTGGTTTTTTGTTTTTTGTCCAGGGGAGCCCTCGGATTTTCCCGTTAACAGGATGTCCAGAAATCTGCCTTTTACATGTCCGGAATGTAACCTCTGCCCACTTTCCCATCTGTCCCTGCCCGTGGCTGGTATGCGATGCCCCCCTCCCATCTAAAGGGGGCCGCCCTTCAACTGAAACCCTCACCCTAAGTGACCTCCTGGGTTGCTTGCCCATAGCCCAGCCCTGCTTGGGTCAAGACTGCTTCAAGGAGGAGGTGAAAGTGATGCAAGCTCGTGCCAAAAGAAGTTAATTTTCACCAGGGGGGAAAGAACCTTGTCGCCTGTTTATGAGTCAGGGTTTGCAAACCGGCACAGCTCCCCAAGAAAACAGCTGAGCGTCAGCAAATTAAGATGGCCTAGTGACCCATAGCCTTGGGGGGAGGGAGGGACCCCTCCCATTGTCAAATCCAGCGAAGCAGAAAAAAAGAGAGACCATCCCTTCAGTAGATCAGAGTCCAGGCCAGGAGAGCAGAGAGCAAGGATCTCGGAGGAGCCAGCATGAGTTACATTATACGCCCCTGGGTCGCAGGAGACCTTAAGGCCATCATGCGACTTATTAGGGTAAGAGATTTGGGGGTGGGAGGGCGAGGAGAGCACCCAGAAAGCTGGAGATTTGGGTACAGGGAGTGCCTTAGACCCAGAGCTGGATTTCTCCCCACCCCATTTATGGTTGGGGTGTATGGGGCATTCGGGAAAGGGAAATTACCGTATTTTTTGCTCTATAAGACGCACCAGACCACAAGACGCACCTCGTTTTTGGAGGAGGAAAACAAGAAAAAAAATATTCTGAATCTCAGAAGCCAGAACAGCAAGAGGGATCGCTGCGCAGTGAAAGCAGCAATCCCTCTTGCTGTTCTGGCTTCTGGGATAGCTGCATTCACTCCATAAGATGCCCACACATTTCCCCTTACTTTTTAGGAGGGAAAAGTGAGTCTTATAGAGAAAAAAATACAGTACCTCTGTTGAGGGACACGTCATGCTCCTTCTGGGGTGCTTTGTCCACCTCTGGACCCCATCCTGTCCTCGGCTCTCACCTGCGGCCCCGATAAGCTGTCGGCGTGCGACAACGGCCACGCACTGGGAACGGCTTCGACCGGCTGGCTGAACCAGGCGAGGGGAGCCGGTGGGTCTCAAACCCTCGGGGAGTTAGGGACGTCCTCTGCCTGTGAGGACAGACTCTGGGAGATGGAGCGGACGAGACCAGGAGTGGGTCCAGTGGTCAAGAGGGAATGAGGGGCAAATGGGGTTTATCCACCTGGGAAGGGAGCCCATCGTGGAGAAGGAAAACTCTGATCCTCAACCTCCTCTGCCTTGCCGGACATCTTCAGGGTGTGCTGGGCCCAAGGGTAACCCAAGCAATGCGGTCCAGGTCTGGTCCCATATCCAAGGGTTCTGCGAGGAGTCAGTCCAACAGAGCCAAGGCAGGAAACCAGGCAAGGACAGGTACAGAATCTCAGGCAGGTTCTGGCATACAGCAACGTTGCTCCCACAACCTGGGGCAGGGTCCGACAGCCTTTTATCTCTGTAACGGCCAGTCCTGATCCCCTGGCGACTCACCTCCCTGTTTTGCCCGAAGGCAAGCACTCCTCCTGCGAGTACTCAGGTCTCTCCTCCTCTCAGACCTCAGTCTCTGCAGCTCAGGAGACGTCGGTGGGTTACTAGACCCAGGGGCCACCTCAGCCTCCCCTGACCCAACCGGTAGTGGAGCAGCTGTAAGCGATGGCCCAGCTGGAGGCAACGAGGTCATCCCCGCATCTGGAGCCAGGGCAGGATCAGGCCCCTGACTCGGCCCAGCTGGTGCTTGTTGCAGGGGAACCTGTGCAGACTGGGGCTCTTCAGGATCAGGCCCCAGACTTGGTTCAGATGCCTCCTGGGGTAAAAGATCCAGTGCGGACTGAGACTCCTCTGGCTCCGAGTCCGAGTCCCAGGCCATCACACAGGAGAAGAAAAGGCTCTGGAGTAAACCCTACACAAATCTGGAGCAGAGTCCCTAAGAGGGTTGGATGAGGCCTTGTACGCCTCCTTCCAGCAACCCCTGGAGGCGCACTCCATTGTCTCTCAAGATAAACAAACCATTTATTACCTTTGCATTCCACCCACGCAAGGTGGGGAAAATTTGTTATTTATTCATGTACCACATTTACTGACCGCTTTGATCTTCCAAGGATCTCAAGGCAGTGTAGATGGTTCTCTCCCCGCCTGCATTTCAGCCTCACAACAACCCTGTGAGGTAGGCTAGGCATAGGCAAACTCGGGGATGGTGGGACTACAATTCCCACCATCCCTGACCACTGGTTCTGTTAGCTAGGGCTGATGGGAGATGTAGTCCCAAAACATCTGGAGGGCCGGAGTTTGCCTATGCCTGGGCTAGGCTAAGGAGACAGCGACTGGCTGAGTGGAGGATTTGAACCCTGTTCTCCCGGGTCCTAGGCCAATGCAGTAACCACTATGCCACACTCGGATGGGCAGGCGTGGCTCCTCGGGTCTGAAATCCTGGAGAGATGCTGCTGTCATTCAGTGTAGGCGATGCTGGGCTGGATGCACCAATGGTCAGAGTCGGTAGAAGTCAGTTTCCTATGTCCCTACGATGCGGCCGGCATTGTAATCCAAGGGCCTTGCATGACTCATACACAACATTTTGCTTCTTCCAGGAATCTGCAGCTTTCCACAAAGCTCTGGACCAGCTGACAACCACCCCAGCACGTAAGGAAAATTCTGCGGCGACGGCAGCGTTTCCTTGTTTGTTTGTTTTTTTGAGTTTCAAAGCTTTACTGCAGGACACTCTTAAAAGAGTTGAAAATAAAGCTTATAAAGATACCAAGTAATACATTGCTCCGCTGAGTTCTCGGGTTCAATTTTCTGCCGGAAGAGACCACTCAGGTTTTCAGCAATGAGTCATTATTTAGCCCAGGGATTTCCAAACTTGGTTCTCCAGCCGCTTTTGGACTACAACTCCCATCATCCCTAGCTAACAGGACCAGTGGTCAGGAATGATGGGAACTGATGATGGCAGCGTTTCGTATTTAGATGGATTGCAGTTGGCACGACGCCCTGCCTCTTTGAGGGCTGGCATCTCTCCCCACATCCTCCTTGACAGCCTTGGGTGCTTCCAGACTGTCACCTGTTTTCGGGTGGGGATTTCCCCGAAAGATCAGAGGGGTGGTTTTGCAATAAGGAAAGTGATGGGAAAGTAAAGTGGTACCTCGGGTTACATACGCTTCAGGTTACATACGCTTCAGGTTAAAGACTCCACTAACCCAGAAATAGTACCCCGGGTTAAGAACTTTGCTTCAGGATGAGAACAGAAATCGTGCTCCGGCGGCGCGGCGGCAGCGGGAGGCCCCGTTAGCTAAAGTGGTGCTTCAGGTTAAGAACAGTTTCAGGTTAAGAACGGACCTCCAGAACGAATTTAGTACTTAGCCCAAGGTACCACTGTATGAGATAAGATTTGCTTTGATCAACCGCCGTCTAACCTCCCTGCCAACAAATCAAGATAAATGCCCTATAAATGGGATGCCTGTAGGATAAGAGTATTCTCAGCCTTCCCCCCATTTCTGGATTCCGCCTTTTGCAAGACCTTCGGATTCTAGTCGAAAGCAAAATGGCTCTCACAAACTGGGATGTGGTTCACCCCGATCTCCATAACAAATATCAATCTATCAATCTATTGATCTATCTATCGTCTGTCTGTCTGTCTACAGTGGTACCTCAGTTTATGAACTTAATCCATTCCGAAAGTCTGTTCTTAAACCGAAATCGTTCTTAAACTGAGGTGTGCTTTCCCTAATGAGGCCTCCCGCCGCTGGTGCCCTTCCACCGTTCGAATTCTGTTCTTAGACAGAGGTAAAAGTTAAAGCTATGGTTTTCCCAGTAGTGATGTATGGAAGTGAGAGCTGGACCATAAAGAAGGCTGATGGCCGAAGAATGGATGCTTTTGAATTCTGGTGCTGGAGGAGACTCTTGAGAGTCCCATGGACTGCAAGAAGATCAAACCTCTCCATCCTGAAGGAAATCAGCCCTGAGTGCTCACTGGAAGGACAGATCCTGAAGCTGAGGCTCCAAGGCTTTGGCCACCTCTTGAGAAGAGAAGACTCCCTGGAAAAGACCCTGATGCTGGGAAAGATGGAGGGCAGAAGGAGAAGGGGACGACAGAGGACGAGATGGTGAGACAGTGTTCTTGAAGCTACCAGCCTGAGTTTGACCAAACTGCGGGAGGCAGTGGAAGACAGGAGGGCCTGGCGTGCTCTGGTCCAGGGGGTCACGAAGAGGCGGACACGACTAAACAACAATTATGCATTTTGTTACTACAGTTATTGCTATAAACTCAGATTTCCAATACATCACAATAATTTATAAATTACTCCTTACAACACATCTTTGAACCCAACAAGCGATATCAATTGATTACAATTGCTTTCCAGATATGTCGAAAACTTCTTCCATTCCTTTAGGAAAGTCTGGTCGTGCTTGTTCTGAATTTTCCCTGTTAGTCTCGCCATCTCCGCATAGTTCATCAATTTCTCTTGCCACTCTTCTTTAGTTGGTCTTTCTTCTTGTTTCCATCTTTGGGCTAATAATGTCCTTGCTGCAGTTATTGCATATAAAAACAGCTTTTTTATCATTCTTATGAATTTCTGTACCCACAATACCCAATAGAAGGGCTTCTGGGTTTTTTAAACAAATGTATATTTCAACATTTTTTTTCACCTCATAAATCATTTCCCAGAAGTCCTTCACTTTCTTACATTCCCACATGTGGTAAAAGGTACCTTCTTTTTCTTTACATTTCCAACATTTATTATCTATTTTATACATTCTGGCTAATTTCGCTGGTGTTCTGTAACACCTATATACCACCATCATTTTCATAATGTTTTCTTTCAATGCACTACATGCAGTAAATTTTATTCCCTCGTTCCATAATTTTTTGTATATTATGTCCAATGTCTATGTTATGTACTGAAGTTCTCACTCTGGGCCAGCAGGGGGATACTGTAGATAGTTTTCACTCAGGTCCACATATGCAAATAAGGGATTGAAAGTGACGTTCAGTGATTGGATAGTTACAGAAAGTGTTACAGTTGCGTTGTAGTGCAGCTCTATATAAGCAGGCCTGGCTGAACCCTTCAGTCCAGTTCTGTTCTGGCCTGTGAATAAACAAGAGCTGTTTGAAGAATCACTGTGTCGTTTGATATGTTCACCCACAACTTAACATCTATAGCCCAATGAATCATAACAGTGTTTTAAATAAATCTGTCCTTTTCTTCCTAGTTCTAAGAAAAGATGGGTTTGAGAAAGATTCCACCTTTGGGTGCCTCGTAGCTGAGCTGCCCCCAGAACAGAAGAGCAGAGACGGTAAGCAAAAGAGGCGGACTGAGCCTTGCAAGGGAAACTGCTAAACTTCTTTTTGGCGTGGGCGGGAAAGTGGAGCAGCGTTGCCTAGTGGGTGGGGGAAACAAAGGAAACTGGCTATATATATATATAGCTCAGCAGGTAAGGGACAGAAATACAAAACCAGGATGATTAGCAGGATGGGGAACGATTGTTGGGGTTCTCGATTTATTACGCGATACGCTGCGGGGTGAATGGAGGTGGAGACGGCCGCTAAGCCGGATGGCTTTAAAAGAGAATTAGGCAAATTTGTGGAGGAAGAGAGGGCTATTGTTGAAGATTCGACATTTTCATCCCCAAAAAGTTTTTGATTTGAGTTTCTACTGAAAGGAGGCTGCATTTTAATGTTGTATTTTGATCTTGTTTTTAAGTCAACCTGGCCTTTGGCTGGTTAGCATCCCATAATATCCTTTTAAATGGGTTTGTGGGAGGTTTAGATTATTGGTTTGGTTTGTTCTTGTTTTTCTTATGTGTGTATTTTGTGTTTTTATCTTGTATTTTGATGCCCTGAGATCTACAGGTGAAGGGTGGTATACAAATTTAATTAATAAATAAAAATAAAAATAAAAACTACCGTATTTTTCCATATACAGGTCATGCCTCGGGTTACAGATGCTTCAGAATTCGTTTTATCAGGTTGCAGACCACCAAAACCCGGAAGTACCGGAACGGGTTACTTCCGGATTTCGGCGCTCGCGCATGCGCAGAACTACCAAATCGCAACCCGCATTTGCACAGATGCGCCACTGCAGGTTGTGGGCGCTGCGGGTTGCGAACGTGCATCGCATCACGTTCGCAACCCGAGTGTCCACTGTATAAGACTAGGTTTTTCCCCTAAAAAATAATGTCCAAAATTTGGGGGCGTCTTATACACGGGGCCATCGCATTTTCTTAAATCAGGATCCCAAAAAATAGGGGGTGTCTTATAGACGGAAAAATATGGTAATCATAAAACTGGAGGTGAACTGATGCTGAATTTGGGCTTCCGCTGGTGTTGGGAATTATCGCCCAGCCCATTCCCTTTTAATATGCTTTTTAATTTTGCTCCTCCTCCCTGCTCTCCAGGTTGCACAATAGTCGGGTACCAGTTCCATTACTTGTCCTACTGCACGTGGCACGGCGGAATCCTCTTTGGCGAAGATCTCTACGTTGTGCCGGAATTCCGAGGTACTCAGGAAGTTGGGTGCCTCTGAGCATGTGCAGAATGCACCCCTCTCTCTTCTCACTTAGCGCACAGACCATAATCAGTAAACTAGGATGAGGAACAGTGAAGGATCGGAGGGCAGATAAGCGGGGAAGACTTCATAGCTAATATAAAATATAAAATAAAACATAGCCTTTTTCGGGTCCATTTTATGGGTTTGCTGGACGGGTCTGACTCATAGCTGTCAACCGTCCCTTATTTGGCAGGAAACTCCCTTATCCCAGCGCTGTGTCCCGCTGCTGTCCCTTATTGATGATGTCCCTTCAATTTCCCTGGTTTCAAAGGAAGCAGCTCCTCTCCCTCCCTCCCTCCCTGCCGGCCAGGGAGGAGGGAGGCTCCAACTGTGTTGCTTGGCTGCGTTGCTCACCCAATAAGGAGTCTAAGAACGACTGGGGGGTGGAGCTTGCATGCCTTGTGCCAATCAAATCGGCCGCGTTGCCTGGGGACTCGCCTTTGCTCAGCGCTTCCCAGCAGAGAGGGGACGGTGGTTTTCCTTGCTGCATCCCCTTTGCCGGGTTGCTGCGCTGTGGAAACCACCGCTTGAGGCTTCGTTTGGATGCTGGTTGACTAAAATCCCTTATTTTGCCTGCTGATCCCTTATTTTCGAGGCTGCTGGCCCATTCTTTTCAAATCTGTAAGTTGACAGCTATGGTTGACTGTTGGGGATGTAGTTGTTGCAGTTGCAATAAAGTGTCTGGATAGTTGCCTGCCAATAAGAGTCAGTTCTGTTGTAAACAAAATCTGCCCTTCTTCCCTTATGGGGTATCCAAGAGCCTGTATAGAGTCCTTAAGTGGGTTCCCTATCAGTAGGAGAAAATAACAGAGGCCAAACAGAGAGTATTGAGAAGCAAAGCGGCTAGTAAGCCTGATCTTTATTAAAGCTGTTGCAACAGGGTCCTCATACATAAATTCCCGCAACAGTTCTTTCACCCAGTTTCGCCTCTGGCCCTGCCCATCTCTGGTAAGTGGCCCCCAGAAGGTTGTGCGCATGGGAATCTGGCCCTCAGACTAAAAATAGGGTTCACACTGCAACTGCTTTTTTAAAAAAGTCCCGAAGCGAATGCAACATGTGTCCACGTGTCTGCGCGTTGCGTCTCGGCACTTCCCTCTTCCACGCATGCGCGTGACATCATTTTGAGCGTCTGCGCATGCGTGCACGGCGAAACCCGGAAGTAACGCGCTCCGTTACTTCCGGGTCGCCGCAGAGCGCGACCCAAAAATATTCATCTCGAAGCGTATTTACCCTGAGGTATGACTGTAGCCCTAACACCTTGCTAATGTATTAACCTGGGTGACGGGGTGAGCTCCCGTTGCTCGGTCCCTGCTCCTGCCAACCTAGCAGTTCAAAAGTACATCAAAGTGCAAGTAGATAAATAGGTACCAAAACGGCGGGAAGGTAAACGGCGTTTCCGTGCGCTGCTCTGGTTCGCCAGAAGCGGCTTAGTCCTGCTGGCCACGTGACCCGGAAGCTGTACGCCGGTTCCCTCGGCCAGTAAAGCGAGATGAGCGCTGCAACCCCAGAGTCAGTCACGACTGGACCTAATGGTCAGATAACCTAATGGTTATCTATCTATCTATCTATCTATCTATCTATCTATCTATCTATCTATCTATGGCAATATTAGCTGAACGAAGCTGTGCTGGGCCCGGGGGTAACCTGTGAAATCCAAAGGTTCCAGAATCCAAAGGTTCCGTTGAGAGTCAGTCCGACAGAGCCAAGGCAGGAAACCAGGCAAGGACAGGTACAGCATCTCAGGCGGGATCTAGCATACAGCAACGTTGCTCCCGCAACCTGGGGCAGGGTCCGACAGCCTTTTATCTCTGTCAGGGTAACGGCCGGTCCTGATCCCCCAGTGACTCACCTCCCTGTCTTGCCCAAAAGCGAGCACTCCTCCTGCAAGTACTCAGGTCTCTCCTTCTCTCAGACCTCAGTCTCTGCAGCTCAGGAGATGTTGGTGGGTTACTAGACCCAGAGGTCGCCTCTGCCTCCTCTGACCAAACCGGTAGTGGAGCAGCTGTAAGTGATGGCCCAGCTGGAGGCAACAAGGTAATCCCCGCATCTGGAGCCAGGGCAGGATCAGGCCCCTGACTCAGCCCAGCTGGTGCTTGTTGCAGGGGAACCTGTGCAGACTGGGGCTCTCCAGGATCAGGCCCCAGACTTGGTTCAGATACCGCCTGGGGCAAAGGATCTGGTGCGGACTGAGACTCCTCTGGCTCCGAGCCCCAGTCCCAGGCCATCACACAAGCAGATCTTTTTAAACCGAGAAAACACTCAAACCCTAGTTCAGAATGTCCACAGCTAAAAATGAAGTGTGATTAACTTGTTCATTCATTCATTTTTCCCCATTTTCCCAACCAGGCAAAGGCATTGGCACGAGTTTAATGAATAAAGTGGCAAAGGTGAGGCTGAACAGGGGTGTGTATGTCTCTGTGTTGTTGTTGTTGTAGTCCTGTATACCTGAAGGAGCATCTCCACCCCCATCGTTCTGCCCGGACGCTGAGGTCCAGCTCTGAGGGCCTTCTGGCGATTCCCTCCCTGCGAGAAGTCAAATTACAGGGAACCAGGCAGAGGGCCTTCTCGGTAGTGGCACCCGCCCTGTGGAATGCCCTCCCACCAGATGTCAAATAGAAAAATAACTACCAAACTTTTAGAAGACATCTGAAGGCAGCCCTGTTTAGGGAAGCTTTTAATGTTTAATAGGTTATTGTATTTTAGTGTTTTATTGGAAGCCGCCCAGATGGGCGGGGTATAAATAATAAATTTATTATTATTATTAGCCCATTTCCCTGCTGAAAGAATTATTTATCATTTATTGTTTGATGCCATTTTACCATTGTACTGTTGAGAGTGTATTAACTTATGGTCTATGTGTTGGAAGCCGCACGGTCAGGGGAAAAACAATGCTGTCCAGGATTGTAAAGACTGCGGAGAGAATAATTGGGTGCACTCTTCCCACCTTGGATCAAATTACGCTTCCAGGTGCCATAAGAAAGCTGCAGAGATAGCGCAGGATAGTGCGCACCCCAGAAATTATCTCTTTCAGCTTCTGCCTTCTAGAAGAAGGGACAGGGTTATAAAGACCAGGACTAGCCGCCTGAGAAACAGTTTCTATCCAAATGCGATTTTGGTTTTAAACACAGTGTAAGGTAGTCTCTGTGGGAGCATATTGTATTTAATTATGGGGTATCAGAGTTTTTAGGGGGCTAACCAGGCTGGGACACGGGTGGCGCTGTGGGTAAAAGCCTCAGCGCCTAGGGCTTGCCGATCGAAAGGTCGGCGGTTCGAATCCCCGCGGCGGGGTGCACTCCCGTTGCTCGGTCCCAGCGCCTGCCAACCTAGCAGTTCGAAAGCACCCCCGGGTGCAAGTAGATAAATAGGGACCGCTTACTAGCGGGAAGGTAAACGGCGTTTCCTTGTGCGGCTCTGGGTCGCCAGATGCAGCTTCGTCATGCTAGCCACGTGACCCAGAAGTGTCTCCGGACAGCGCTGGCCCCCCGGCCTCTTGAGTGAGATGGGCGCACAACCCTAGAGTCTGTCAAGACTGGCCCGTACGGGCAGGGGTACCTTTACCTTTTTAACCAGGCTGGGATAGCTGGGGTAGCAGGCTTGTTGGTTTTTGAATGTCTGACGTAGATTTTTTCAATTTCGTTGATCTGTATGGGACAATGACAATAAAGATTATCATATCGTAAAGGTTTCTGGGGATTGTAACTACGGTACCCAAAATTCTTTGAGGCAGATGTTCTTAAGGTTGTACGTTGCCCAGTGGCGTAGCGTGGGGGGTGCAGGGGGGGCCGGCCGCACCGGGAGCAACATCTGGGGTTAGGGCAAATCCACAGGTTAGGGGGCGCAAATCCACGGGTTAGGGGGCGCAAATTACTTGCCTTGCCCCGGGTGCTGACAACCCACGCTACGCCACTGACGTTGCCTAAGATCTTTTGATAAAGGGCAGTTTTATTCCTGTTTAGACACACCCACCCAGATGCTTAGAAGGTTGAGATGATGCTAATCTGCTTTTAGGATTTTAACTGCCATGTGTTTTAAATTTGAGCTGCAGATTTCACTAGATTTTCTTGCTTTTATCCCTTTTTTTGTAAACTGCTTTGAGGTCCTCCCCTCACACAATGAAGAGGTATGGAAAAATTTTATGAAATAAAATGAATAAATAACGGCCTCCAATTCCGCCCCCATCCCCTCAGATTGCGTTGGAGAAAGGTTGTTCCGAGTTCCGATTCATCTGTGCCCGGTGGAACCAGCCGGCAATGGATTTCTACGCCAAGTTGGGAGCCGTGAATGTCACTATTCGGGACCACTGGCACCTCTGCCACATCGAAGGAGCGCATGTCCGGAAGCTAGCGCAAGAAGCGAGGAAATAGGAGCCGAGATATATTGGCAGTAATGTTTGGCCCAGAATTATTCAGGATTACTTTTCATGCCTCTGGCTCCAAGCCCTAGAGGCCATTTTGGCAAAGATTTAGGCCCATTCCTGCTGGACGGACCTTCACTAAGCCAGGTGCCCTCTGGAAATTTTGGACTACAACTCCCATCAGACCCAGGGAGCTTGGCTGTGCTTGCTCAGGATGATGGGAGTTGTAGTCCAATGCATCTGGAGGGTGCCAGGTGGATGAAGGTTGTGCTATACCCCAAACCCCTGTCTGTCTCTCTCAGGAACCCCAGAGTCCTGGTTCCTTAGGCTTTCTTCTGTTCCCGCAAATCCTGCTTTTCTTGATAATATTTTATTGATTTTCCAAAAATAACATATATAAAAACAACAACAATACAAATTCAAAATAAATCAAGTTGGATTCCCCCTAGTCCCTTCCTTGGTTCCATTATTACTCAACATACCGCATGTCCAATGTTCAATTTTAAAACCATATAAATTACCTATTGTCTATTCGTATCCAAATTACAATTAGTCCTAACACCCTGCTCATGTATTAACCTGGGTACAATGCTTCTGTGTATAGATACTGATATAGATATAGATAGATATGTAGATATATATAGATATATATATAATTGGGTGCACTCTTCACACCTTGGATCAAATCTATGCTTCCAGGTGCCATAAGAAAGCTGAAGAGATAGCGCAGGATAGTGCGCACCCCGGAAATGATCTCTTTCAGCTCCTGCCTTCTGGAAGAAGGGACAGGGTTATAAAGACTAGGACTAGCCGCCTGAGAAAAAGTTTCTATCCAAATGCGATTTTGGTTTTAAACGCAGTGTAAGGTAGTCTCTATGGGAGTATATTGTATTTAATTATGGGGTATCAGAGTTTTTAGGGGGTTAACCAGACTGGGGTAGCAGGCTTGTTGGTTTTTGAATGTTTGGTGTAGATTTTTTCAATTTCGTTGTTCTGTATGGGACAATGACAATAAAAGATTATCGTATCGCATATGCAATAAACATCTCCCATTTCTCTTTAAATTCGTTGTCGGCTTTTCCTCTTAGTTTCATTGTCAGTTTTGCCATTTCAGCATATTCCATTAATTTAACTTACCAATCTTCTTTGAATGGGACGCCTTCTTCTTTTCAATGTTGTGCTAACAGTGTCCGTGCACACGTAAATAAGTTCTTTCGTGATCTTGGTATGTCCTTTCCTGTAATACCTAATAGGAAAGCTTCTGGGTTTTTTTAACAAAGGCTATTTTAAACATCATCTTCATTTCACTGTAAATCATTTCCCAATATTTCTTTATAATTTTACAATCCCACCACATGTGAAAGGAAGTCCGCTCTGTTACTTCAAATGGCATTCTTCCCCGCCATCTTAGAGGAACCAAATGTATTTCCTGAGCCCTAAGGTCCCATCTGGGGACGCGGGTGGCGCTGTGGGTTAAACCACAGAGCCTAGGACTTGCCATTCAGAAGGTCGGCAGTTCGAATCCCTGCGACGGGGTGAGCTCCTGTTGCTCGGTCCCTGCTGCTGCCCACCTAGCAGTTCAAAAGCACTGTCAAAGTGCAAGTAGATAAATAGGCACCACTCCGGCGGGAAGGTAAACGGCGTTTCCGTGCGCTGCTCTGGTTCACCAGAAGCGGCTTAGTCCTGCTGGCCACATGACCCGGAAGCTGTACGCCGGCTTCCCTCGGCCAGTAAAGCGAGATGAGCACCGCAACCCCAGAGTCGGTCATGACTGGACCTAATGGTCAGGGGTCCCTTTACCTTTAAGGTCCCATCTGCACCATGCATTCGAAACACTCTTGCCCCACTTTGAGAATCATAGCTCCCGCTAAAGGGTCCTGGGAACTGTAGTTTGCTAAGGGTGCTGAGAGTTGCCACGATATCTTTCATAAAACTACAGTTCTCCTCGCCCTGTCAAAGCAAGGAATTCGCAAGGCGTAAATCTGAAATCTTATTCCCAATTACAGTGGTACCTCGGGTTAAGTACTTAATTCGTTCCGGAGGTCCGTTCTTAACCTGAAACTGTTCTTAACCTGAAGCACCACTTTAGCTAATGGGGCCTCCTGCTGCCGTCGTGCCGCCGGAGCACGATTTCTGTTCTCATCCTGAAGCAAAGTTCTTAATCCGAGGTGGTATTTCTGGGTTAGCGGTATCTGTAACCTGAAGCGTATGTAACCCGAGGTACCACTGTATTCTGTTCACTGATGCCCACAAAATTTGTCTTTGATCTTTGCAGTACATCTTTGACCCAATAATGATTTTGTTGGGGTGCGCCCTCCCCCCCCTCTACTTCTGGAACGACCCAAATAAACGTCTGAATCCCGTCCAGTCCTGTTTTCCTAACTCTTCTTGTATGTTTCTTCTTCCAAGGTTTCTTTCTTAACCCAAAATCAAAACAGGGTCGGAAGGAACCCGGAAGCACCGATTAAAAAAAAGGAAGCACGCTGCTCTACACTTTTTGTAACTCTATGTTCTTATCCCGCGGCGGCGCCTTGCGCGATCTCTCCGCTTGTTTCTGCTCGGATCTCGCGAGAGCGCGACGTCCGATCTCGCCGAACGCCAGCATCCAGTCGCGCGATATTATAGCCTCAAGTCCCGCGAGATCCTGTTTCAGACGCCTCCTTTGGAGACCTAGGGTGAAGATTCGTGCGCAGCCCAGTATTCTGTCTCCAACAGGGGTCAGCCATTGTGCTTCCTCACCCCTTGGCTGGAAAGGGGTTATTTTTTAAATTGGGCTCTATTTTCTTTCTGCTTTGGGGGTATTTTGTGTTCAAATTGGTTTTGTGTTTTGTTTACAGCCCTTTGCTTTAAATACTGCTTAGTACATTAATAATAATAATAATAATAATAATAATAATAATAATAATAATAATAATAATTTATTATTAAACCCCGCCCATCTGGCTGGGCTTCCCCAGCCACTCTGGGCGCCTTCCAACAAAATATTAAAATACCGTAATACATCAGACATTAAAAGCTTCCCTAAACATTGCACCGGGTTGCTGCTGGCAACTAGAAACGGATTGCAAATAATTAGTAAAGTTTCTGTGGTCCAATTCATTAATTTATATTTTGCAGAAAATAAAATCTCAAAGCGGTTTGCAGCACATTAAAACAAGTCAGTAAAAAGGATCAAATTGAGAAACAAAAAAGACACATATATATATGTTGTTGTTTAGTCATGTCCAACTCTTCATGACCCCCTGGAGCAGAGCACGCCAGGCACTCCTGTCTTCCACTGCCTCCCGCAGTTTGGTCAAACTCATGCTGGTAGCTTCGAGAACACTGTCCCACCATCTCGTCCTCTGTCGTCCCCTTCTCCTTGTGCCCTCCATCTTTCCCAACATCAGGGTCTTTTCCAGGGAGTCTTCTTGTGAGGTGGCCAAAGTCTTGGAGCCTCAGCTTTAGGATCTGTCCTTCCAGTGAGCACTCAGGCCTGATTTCCTTAAGAATGGAGAGGTTTGATCTTCTTGCAGTCCAGGGGACTCTCAAGAGTCTCTTCCAGCACCAGAATTCAAAAGCATCCATTCTTCGGCCATCAGCCTTCTTTATGGTCCAGCTCTCACTTCCATACATCACTACTGGGAAAACCATATATTTATTTAAAATCCCTGAGCTCCCTTTATTCTAGAAAGTAGTTCATAAAATTATGCCCGACACAGAGGAAGTGTTTAAAGAAAAGTTTCTCCTCCGTCTCTTGCAACACCAGAACATGCGGACGGACAGTGAAGCTGAATGTTGGAAGGTTCAGGGCAGATAAACGGAAAGATGTGCTTATTTGAGCAGCGCGTGTTTAGAACTACGGAACTCCCTGCCTCAGGAGAGAGCAGAGCGATGGCCACCAACCTGGGTGGTTTTAAAAGAGCAGTGGAGGAATTTGTGGAGGAAAACGGCTTCCAGCCACAATGGCTCCGCTCTGGCACCATCTGAACACCAAATGCATCTGAACACCAATTGCTGGCAACCACAGGAGGGCAGAGGACTCTTGTGCTCGGGACAGGGCCGGATTTTGATGAAGAGAGGCCCTTGGCTACTCCACTTGTGAGGCCCCTCCCAACTCCCCACCCTCACGACTAGAAGAAAATGGAAGAGTGTTATTGTTATGTACTGAAGTTCTCACCCTGGGCCAGCAGGGGGATACTGTAGATAGTTTTCACTCAGGTCCACATATGCAAATAAGGGATCGAAAGTGACGTTCAGTGATTGGATAGTTACAGAAAGTTGTTACAGTTACGTTGTACTGGAGCTCTATATAAGCAGGCTGGCTGAACCCTTCAGTTCAGTTCTGTTCTGACCTGTGAATAAACAAGAGCTGTTTGGAGAATCGCTGTGTCATCTGATATATTCACCCACAACTTAAGAGTTATAAACAAAATTGAGTGACGCCAAGGATGACAACAGATATTTAAAATTCTGCAATTCCCAATTTCTCCTCTAAAGGACATCGGACAATTTCATCAAAATTTGTTTGTCTTAAGTTTGTCGATTTCACTGTACAGTGGTACCTTGGTTTGCAACCATTTTGGATTACAACCACGTCAAACCTGGAAGTGTGTGTCCCTTTTTTTTGGATTACAAGCCTCTTTTTTTGGATTAAAACCCTGATATTTTTTTTTAGGCCCCATTGGCGAAAGTGCGCCTTGGGTTACAACCTGTTTTGGTTTACAACTGGACCTCAAGAACGGATTATGGTTGTAAACCAAGGTACCACTGTACACAATGCTCAGTGCAGACAACCTCTCTTGAGACATCGTGGCGCTTAATTCGTTTTTTATTCGTTTGAGTCTTGAAAAACTCCTCTCTCCTGAGCAGTTGGTGACCATAAAGCTAAGAAACAGCCGCAAGATTGCTTCCACATTAGGAAAGGCCATCTGAATTTTCCCCTTGTATATCATTTGATAAAGTTCTGTAGGAGACAGAGAGTGCTCTGCTGTGAGCCTATGGCTTTGTCTCACGTACAGGTGAAAGTGCAAAAGTTCATCAATAAGTTTCACGTCCATATCTTCTGGGTATGCTTCCATCAACAGTTCAACACCTTGCTGAATTTCTTCCTTAGATGCTATCGGAATAGCAAGAATGGAAAAACAATTGTGCAACACCACTGTACACAGCACTTCTTTTTCAAATGGCTTCACGTGCATCTAATATAGGAATAAAGGATTTTATCCTAAACTTACCTCTTGAGGAAAGTGCATCTAAGGCCCTAGGCTTCAGCCTACTTAAAGGTAAAGGGACCCCTGACCGTTAGGTCCAGTCGTGGCCGACTCTGGGGTTGCGGCGCTCATCTTGCTTTACTGGCCGAGGGAGCCGGCGTCCAGCTTCTGGGTCATGTGGCCAGCATGACTAAGCCGCTTCTGGCGAACCAGAGCAGCGCACGGAAACGCCATTTACCTTCCCGCAGGAGTGGTACCTATTTATCTACTTGCACTTTGACGTGCTTTCGAACTGCTAGGTTGGCAGGAGCGGGGACTGAGCAAAGGGAGCTCACTCCGTCGCGGGGATTCGAACCGCCGACCTTCTGATCGGCAAGTCCTAGGCTCTGTGGTTTAACCCACAGCGCCACCCGCGTCCCTTCAGCCTATACAGAAATCCAGCACTGCTTGCGGGTTTCCCTTTTGGGGTATCCCTTTGGGGTATCCTGC